GGGGGGGGGCGTGTAATGATTTGCCGCCTGGCTTCCTGATTGGTAGGGAAACTTGCCAATCAGGAAGCCTAGCAACGAGTCATTATCCGCCCCCCCCCGGCTTCCTGATTGGCCAGAAAGCCGTCTCCATGCTTTCTCATCGACTGTTGATGGGGGAGCACGGAGCCAGCTTCATGGCTAATCGGGTATCCAGGCGGTGAGTCATTACATGCCGTCCAGCTTCCTTAATGGGACTTCTGGTATCATGTGGATGTAACTCTGACATGTACCACCGACCTAAACATTGTTGCTGACCAAGTACACCCCTTCATGGAAACAGTATTCCCTGATGGCAGTGGCCTCTTTCACCAGGATAATGAGCCCTGCCACACTGCAAACCTGGTTCAAGAATTGTTTGAGGAACACAACAACGAGTTTGAGGTGATGATTTGCCCTCAATTCCCCAGATCTCAGTCCAATCCATCATCTGTGGCATGTGCTGGAAAAACAAGTCCGATCCATGGAGGCCGATCACCTCACAACTTACAGGAATTAAAAGAGAACTATGGGGTACGTGTTTTTCTCTTATGGGTCACGGGAGGACATAAACTAGCGTCCTCCCATCACCCAAAGCTCAGTATACCGCGAGCTACAGCTCGCCTGAGACCGCCACAGCCGGGACAGATCTCGACATTACTGTCGATCCACCGAGCTGCATGAGTGACAGCTGGCTCTGCCTACCTAGAGGTAGAGGCATCTGTACCCGCCCACTCCTCTGTCCGTTCCGCCAGTCAGCGCTGGAGGATCGGACGGGGGGGATCCCTGCAGGGAGCCGTGAGTGACGGTCACGGCTCTCGGCGGGGACAGGATCGAGAAGTGAGCGAGCGACGGTATGTGTTTGCTCACTTCCCGATCTATTGAGCCGACGTGTGACAGTTTCATTGTAACACGTCAGCTCGAACTGTGAGGATGAGTGGTTTTCACTCGCCTCATAGTTCTCCTTTTTAAAGGTTCTGCTACTGACGGCTCGGTGCCAGATACCGCAGCACACCTTCAGAGGTCTAGCGGAGCCCATGCCTGGACGGGTCAGGAGAGTGGGGACTCAGTATTAGGCGGGTGGTCATAATGTTATTGCTGATCATCGTTTGTGTGAGTGTGTTAGACAGATGGAGGTGTCAGTAAATTTCAGAAGTATTTGTTGTCTTCAGCATGGAAAGCCCCGCGGTGAGGACTTTGGCTCCAGGAAGGAATGTATCGGGGTGTATATACCACATGTGTCCCTCTCACACACCAGCCTCTGATTAATGGGTGAGGTTTTGGCGTTGCTTGAGGCCCCAGAGGAGTTGCGCTCTCCCCTCCTGCTGTGTTATGTTCAGGAATTCCTCTCATCCGTGCTCCACCCCTGGAATGTCCCCAAGTCCATGACATGGAAAATCCTTCATTATCGCTGGGCCGGGGAAATGCTTCAATAACAAACTTGCTTATGAAAATAAAAGCAATGAGTAACCTGACCTCATATTGCGCTCTTTTATCTCTTCCTGTAAATGATTCCACCAGATAATGGGCCGCAGTGTGAGAGGAGAAAGCAGCACATGGAGCCAGTCAGTTCATGTGCTGACAATAAGCATGCTGGGAGGGGGAGAGAGAAGAGTGACAGAGAGAGGAGCTTATCGGTGTGCTGCTTCTCTTATCACTGGCTGGAGGCTGGTCCAGGATGACCTGGGCTCAAAGCAAGTGGGTTGAATGATCAGGGCATCCAGTGGCAAAAAAGGGTATTCAGGGGGAATTTTCGGATTAAAGGTAAATATCGCAGGAAAAGCTGGTTTTGATGTTTTATCTTTTTTAATGAGCTTTTGCTTGTTTTTTGTTTTTGCATTTTACAATATATATACAGAGCAGACGGGTTAACATTGGCCATACAAGGCTCGAATCTCACCCGATTCCTACTGAATCTGCCGCGATTCGAGCAGTGGGTGGTCCTTAATAAATTTTGGTTACGAAATTGAAGGGACCAGGTGGACAATTGTCATCATGCAGACTATCCTAGGTAACGCCCACGTATGGCCATAAGCCTTCATGATTGGAGGAACCGGAATCCAATAAATGAAAGAGGCGGGCCAGGGACAGTCAGGCTGGGGAGTGTATGGCCAGCTGAAGGGGCATTCATCCCGAAGCTCCCAGGATGCATTGGTCAGAAGTGCACTTGTACCAGTCTCAGTAAAGCACTTTACCTCTGCCATAGTTGTCATGTGACACGTGTAGAGGAGTTCAGGGCTGCAGGCGATGTTTTATATGTAACGTAATCCGTTCCTGTTTTTCCAGCTGGAGTTTCGCGTGAAGGAGGAAGATAGAGGCAGCATTCAGGTGGAGTGGACAATGGGGAACTTTACTGACCTCGATCTTCAGGTGCAGCCAAAAACTAAGCTGGAGGTCAGTCAGTAAGTTCTGCTGCTTCAACTTTTTGTTTTTATCTCCGCGTTCTCCGTTCGCAAAATGTAGCACAGCTGTCAGGTCAGCGTGTCCTGGTACTAATGTGCCGAGGATGACACCGACCACTGTTCAGTGGAAAAAAATATCAATGGCTTCAGCTTTCTGTTCACACAGGTGCAAACACACCCTTGGCAGCCATGCTAGCTGTGTAGCTGCCATATCCTCTCTCTGCAGATATGTAAGGAGCTCTAGAGGGGCCACACCATACCCTCTATCTTCACATATATAAGGAGCTCTAGAGGGGCCACACCTTACCCTCTATCTTCAGATATGCAAGGAGCTCTAGAGGGGCCACATCATATCCTCTATCTTCACATATATAAGGAGCTCTAGAGGGGCCACATCATATCCTCTATCTTCACATATGTAAGGAGCTCTAGAGGGGCCACACCATATCCTCTCTCTTCAGATATGTAAGGAGCTCTAGAGGGGCCACACCATACCCTTTATCTTCAGATATATAAGGAGCTCGCTCTAGAGGGGCCACATCATATCCTCTATCTTCAGATATATAAGGAGCTCTAGAGGGGCCACACCATACCCTCTATCTTCAGATATGTAAGGAGCTCTAGAGGGGCCACACCATACCCTTTATCTTCAGATATATAAGGAGCTCGCTCTAGAGGGGCCACATCATATCCTCTATCTTCAGATATATAAGGAGCTCTAGAGGGGCCACACCATACCCTCTATCTTCAGATATATAAGGAGCTCTAGAGGGGCCACACCATACCCCCTCTATCTTCAGATATATAAGGAGCTCTAGAGATTCCATGCCATATCCTCTATCTTCAGATATATAAGGAGCTCTAGAGATTCCATGCCATATCCTCTATCTTCAGATATGTACGAAGCAGTAAGGACGCTACACTAATAATCATAGAGTGCAGAATGTTTTCTTTGATTAAACGATTGATTGAATAAGCGGACCATTTCAGGGCTTTGAAGGCTCCTCCTCCTTCAGGGCTAAAGACCCGTACGTCATATTGTGTAGCCAAAAGAGCCAAACCAATCACACAGCATCCATAGAGGTGTGGTGTATCTGCAGAAGAGCCCTGTTTGAAGCCCTCAAAGTTTTGTAGCTTTACACTTGGGCTGGGTTCACACCTGGGCGTACGGAATATGCGCGTTTTCCACACGTTTCGTTTCACGCGTTTTTACAGCGATTTGCGCTAAAAGAAACACGCGTTTACGAGGGCTATGCGTCTGTATCCTAATGGAAAATACGCCCCAAAGAAGCTCCTGTACTTCTTTGGGCGTAGGGAGTTTTTCAGCGCGTTCCTAGGCGCTGAAATACGCCCAGGTGGGAACCATGCCCATAGGCAATTATTGGTTTTCACATGCTGAGCGTTTTACAGTGCGTAGGAACGCGCTGTAAACCGCCCAGGTGTGAACCAGGCCTTACTGTAGGTACTGTTGGTGCTATAACAACCTTCACAATTCTGAGAGCTTTTCACAAGATTTCGGAGTGTGTCTGCCCTTTTAGTCCAGAGTATTGATGAGGTCTGGCACTGATGTTGGATGAAAAGACTTGGCTTGCAGTGGACATTCCAATTCATCCCAAAGGGTGTTCAGTAGTGTTGAGGTCGGGGCTCTCTGATGGCCACTTGAGTTCCTCCACACTAAACCCATCAAATCATGTCTTTATGGAGCTGGCTTTGTGCACAAGGGACATTCTAGAAGAGGAAAGGGCTTTCACCAAACTGTTACCATGATGTTGTGTAAAATATCTTTGTATGCACGCAGCACCGAGCTGTACATGCCGGCCGTTTCTAGTGTGAATGAGGCCTTAAAGGAGAACTATGAGGTGAGTGCTTTTCACTCACCTCATAGTTCTAGCCGACCTGTGACAATGAGACTGTCACAGGTCGGCTCAGTAGATCGGGAAGGGAGCGAACACATACCGGCGCTCGCTCACTTCTCGATCCTGTCACGGCTCTCTGCCGTGACAAGGGAGGGGCTGGATTCCCCCCTCCCCGCTCCGATCCGCCAGCGCTGACTGGCGGAACGGACGGGGGAGGGGGCGGGTGCAGCTGGCTCTGCCTCTAGATAGGCAGAGCCAGCTGTCAATCACGCAGCTGGACGGATCCCGGCACAATTGTCGGGATCCGCTTCAGCTGTGGCGTCTCAGTATAGCTCGCGGTATACTGAGCCTAGGGTGACAGGAGGACACTAGTTTGTGTCCTCCTGTTACCCTAAGGAGAACTATGGGGAAAAGCCCTAACCCCATAGTTCTCCAACATTACCTTTACAAGAAAGAACTGAAGTCAGTCATTGGGAGGGATGTCTAAATACTCTGAGCTATAAAATGTATAATTTGGGTGAGCTGGAAGGAATAATGCTTCCATGATTGTACTGGCACATTTGCAGGGCTCTCATGCAGTTATTCCTACTGTCCTCCCAAACATATGGATGGTGAGCAACCTCCTGAACTGTCAGACTGAGCCATCATGGAGGATGACCTGATCTGATGCGGATTTGGCTTCTGCAACCAAGAAGTCTCGGACAGCTCAGCTTGCCCTACGTAGTTTTATTTACCCCAGCAGGTGATGTTAAAGTTTATATAAACCATAACCATTTTCTTTTTTACATAGGTTAAAAAAAAAAAAGAAAAAAATCCATCGAGTCCAGCCTATAGAGAAGAATAAAAAGAAAAATATCCAAAAAACAGAACCCAGTGCCCTCCGTTACCCACAGTTGATACAGAGGAAGGCAAAAAACCCCTATAAAGCAAGGTTCAATGTGCTCCAATATGGGAACAATTCCTTCCTGATCCCATAAGGCAGTCGGATATTCCCTGGACCAACAATCTTTACTTATAATATGCTAATATCTAGTAATCTTCTGTGCATTTAGGAATGCATTCAGATTTTTTTTTTTTAAACGGTTAACTGAACTAACTAGAACTGTTTGTTCCCTTCGGACCTGTTAAATATACCGTAGAAACTTCTTTGTTATGTGTGTTCAATGAATGCAAACAACTGTTGTGCTTGACAGAAAATGTGAGAGCTGATAACTTCCTGTGCTGAATGTTTTCATTTAGAGATTGTTCTTAGTTATCTCTGAGGACTACATAACCATGCCCATCTATGTTATAGAGGAGAAGAGCGGGGTGGCGTCCAATAGCACTATTCTGTTTCTGTTTTCCTGTTCTGTTGTTTCTGTTAGGTAGGTTGAGTGAGAATTGTCATCCTGGGACTGGAAATGAATTACCTGCAGAATCAACAGGTGATGAGGTGTTATGGAGCTGATACGAGGGAATGCTGTTCTGTAGTCTCAAAATGCTTCCTGTCCTATGCTGACAATGTTGCTTCTCCATAGATGCAGTGCGGTGAGCGAGCTTTGTCACTCTAGGACAGGAACTGCGGGAAATGGCAGGTTCACCAGGTGCTCCGAGGTCTTAAAACACTTCCTGTCCTAAGGTGACAACGTTCCCTCTCCATAGATCCAGTACAGTGAGCGTTGTCACCCTAGGACAGGAACTGCGGTACTGGCAGGTTCACCAGGTGCTCTGTGGTCTTAAAACATTTCCTGTCCTAAGTGACAGCATTGCTTCTCCATAGATCCAGTACAGTGAGCGTTGTCACCCTAGGACAGGAACTGCGCTACTGGCAGGATCATGAGGTGCTCTGTGGTCTAAAAACACTTCCTGTCCTAAGGTGACAATGTTGCTTCTCCATAGATCCTGTATAGTGAGCGAGCGTTGTCACCCTAGGACAGGAACTGCAGTACTGGCGGGTTCACCAGGTGCTCTGTGGTCTTAAAACACTTCCTGTCCTAAGGTGACAGCGTTCCCTCTCCGTAGATCCAGTACAGTGAGCGTCGTCACCCTAGGACAGGAACTGCGGGTTCACCAGGTGCTCTGTGGTCTTAAAACACTTCCTGTCCTAAGGTGACAATGTTGCTTCTCATAGATCCAGTACAGTGAGTGAGCGTTGTCACCCTAGGACAAGAACTGTGATACTGGCAGGATCATCAGGTGAAAAAGGATAAAAAGCTTGAATATATCGCATATTTTTCTTCTTGGGTTCAGTTGCATTATAACAAAGACATAACATTAGGAGCAGAAGATTTCCTTCAGGCCACAACCCCATACATTTTCAAGGTCAAATACAAAATGGGAATGGCCTGTGTCTTTAATGCAGTGAGATCATACAGGTCCCCGAGCTGCGGAGAAGCATGACCTTGACTTTGCAGATGGATAATGGTATCAGTGTTTTCACATTGGCCATTATGCCAAACTACCGTGGGCCAAGTGCTCCTGGCACAAAAAGCTTTCACTGCAGATAAAATGCTTTTGAACTCCCGGCACTTTGTCCTGCACTTGGCTTGTCCGGGCTCATGCGGAGACGAGAGCAGTCACGATGCTTTCTTCTGCGGGCCTCGGCTGCTCTCTTCTTGAAGAAAGGCCGTCTACCCCGAAGGGTTCTTTTAATCCAGAGAGCTTCGTTTACCTCTCCTGAGCAGAATGTGGGGTCAGAACTGTGGCTTAAAGCTGAACTACGGGCACAAAAACTGCAGAAAACCACAGGAGGGGGGCGGAGACGAGACCACAAGAAGGGAGAGCGGCGGGTTCATAGTAAAGGCAGCCCCTGTCGTTTCATATCTTGCCGTCACTCCCCAGCCAGTCCAATCGCCACCAGGAGTGAAGAGAGGGAACTCCGAGTCAATCACGGTTCACTTTATTACACTTGTCTGGTTAGAAATCCATCTTTTGAACCGTTTCCGGGTGCAGATTGAGGGGGTTGAGCTCTGAGTCCTATTTGATTTTTGATAAGCGCCCAAGCCCCGATGAGGGCGGAGAGTTGCCCCCCGAAATGTGTTGGTTGCCAGTATTTTCCTGTTTTCCCTAGAGGATTTAAATACACTTTGGACTCTGTTTGGCTCTACTTTTGGTTTAATTACACAGGAGGGAAACATGGGCAACCATCGGCGGCCTCCTGAAAATGCTAGCTGGCTTCAGTACTTCCAAGTCGCCATTCCTCATCTCCACACTGCTTCTAGGACAGTGACTCAAATTCCCAAAGACGAGACCTCATCTGGGATGTGCAGTTCAGTTATGAGCACCAGTAGTGCATGTCGTGAAGTCGGAGAGAGTTCTGAGAAGAGCCTCTAAAGTGATGATGGAGGAGCTCAGCCGTGAGCAAAGATTAGCTGAACTGAAGAGGAGAATAATGGGGGGGGACATAATATATATAGAGTAGCGTCACGCGGGGGGTGCACCCGCACCGGGTGCCACCATTGGTGGGGTGACAAAAAAAATGACTGACAGTTATTTTGGTGTCACCCCCTATTAAAAGTTGGGCACTCGGTCACGGGCCGAGAGCCCGACACTTTCAGGAGAGAGGAGGGGACCCGGCGGCATACCTCATCCCGCCGGGTGAACGTCCCTTCCTCTCTGTCGGCGTCCATCACCAAGATGGCCACCGGCAGGCGTCAGTAAGACGTCCGCCCATGCACAATGACGTCACGGCGGGGTGTCACATGGTCTCCGCTCCGGGTGTCGCCCAGCCTCGGGAACTCCGACAAACAGGCATGACACCCAGAGGCAGATGCATGATGGGATTTGTATTTTTTTTACCTTGGCTTGAGTGTCTACCTTGCTTTAGGGGATCGGGAAGAAAAGTGTTATTGTGCAAGTTGGACCATGCTTAATAAAGGAGTCTCTTTGCCTTCCTCTGGATCAACTGTGGTTATCGGGTTCTGTATAGGCAGGTTTTTAATTTTAGTTATCTATTTTATTTTTCTTTTGGTTGAACCTGATGAACTTTTTGCAACCTGACTTACTATGTGACTTACAAGGCAATCATCCTGGTCTACTATTCTCAGCCTCCATAGACAGGTTCTCTTAAAGGAAATGTTTGTGTTGCCCCATGACAACTTTATCAACTTCTTTTTGAGGTAATGATTTGCAGTGCGTGGTTGGGGACTTCCTCTCATATACCTCATTTATGTATGTATGTTTTGTAGATGCCCGGAGCCAGCGTAGTCATGGAAACCCTGGAGGATATAATGAAGAACCTCATGAGTTGTGTGCGACCCACCGTGAAGCTGAGCACCAAACCTGCCAATGTGAAGGATTACCAGGTGCGTTGCTCGATGAGTTCTCTGTGTATAGGGTAGTCTACGTGTACGGGGTTAATCTGTCTCAAAGATTTGTGTCTCACTTCCTGTATCTTTGGGGTGGGTGGTGATACAAAGTACTTTAGCAAAGAATGGGGCCCATTTTAGGGCTGATTCACACCATAGGCTTGCACTTAACGCACGGGATCAGTGCTAGGTGCTCCGGTAACATTGTGTTGGCGCCCTGACACACCTCCCAGCAGTGACGTGCCATACCTTTGGTTCCGAGTGAGGCATTCCCCAGCCACACCCCCAGCCTGCTGAAGCCCCGCCCATATAACGCCAAAGCCCTGGTCCCCAAGCTAGTGTGAGCCTCCCTGTCCCTCACTTGCTCATCACTGCTGAGGCATCGAGATCGATGGCCTCAGTGTTTTTTGGGGGATTGGACAGCTTGGACCAATGGCGCTTTGCCATTAGTCCAAACCACCCACAGAGCTCACGCCTTTATACAAAGTGTAGAGGCTGTGACAGCTCTTGCCTCACTAGTTAGGTTACACAGCAGCGGGCTTCCCCACTGCTTGTGTAACCTAACTACCTGTCAAAAGCTGGATGCAGCGCTGCCTGTAATTAACAGGCTGCACTCCGTCCATGACAGGTCACACAGCGGGGAGGATTTCTCTGCTCTGTAACCTATTACAAGCTGATCTGAATGGAGAAAATGCTGTCAGCTTCAGATTTGAAGCGGACAGGTTTTTCCTCCATAATACTAGGTGAGGCTCTGCCTCCCCTGACCGCATGTCCCTGCCTCCCAGCAGGCATGCGTTATGGGTCATGTGACCAGTCTCTCCTGATTTATGGTTCCCCATTCATTTTGATAGTGAACATTTATAAAGTACAGTGAAGCACTTTACAAAAGCTTTTTCCGGGATCACTGTGCTTTATAAATGTGCATTTTTTTTTTTTTTTTTTTTAAAGGTGCCGTATGGCAAAGTCATACCGCAGCTATATACACGGGGATCCCAAAAGTCACCCTCTAAGGATCACCACACAAGTTATAATCTGACTGTACAATATCCTTTTGATCCTTGGTTCTCAACTGGTGGGTCGTGACCCTGTTTTCAGTGGGTCACTGCAAACCTTCCACTTTTTGTAGGCGAGTGAGATCACATTTTGGATCCTGGCACCTCCACAGTGCACGCAAAGGAGCTGTACAAGCAATGCAGATATGGATGGAGCTCCGTCACAGCACAGCAGCCCACACTGGACCCCTGGAGGATCCACTCCAGTTCTCGTGAAGTAGGGAGGCTCGGTGGACCTTAAAAAAAACAACTAAAACAACATTTCGGAGTGTGTATGCGTGTGTGAGAATGTCTGTGAGGTTGTGTCTCTGGTTGTGTATGTATGTCAGTGTTTTTGAGGGCCCATTCACACTAGTACATTGCATTAATCGCAAAGTACTGTGCGATTAACACACTATACCATGTAATTGCACCTACCGTGCATTCTGGTGTGGGAGATGTGTTGCATTACCATTCATTTCACTGGTACCCCAAACGCACCTGCCACCCACAGTCCGTACGCTCGCACTGGAACGCGCGGTACCCTAATGCTGTGTGTTCCAGTGCAGTGCGACTTGGGTCGCGACTTAATGACCAAGGACAAATGTGGGTCCGGAGGTTATACAGGTTGAGAACCCCTGCTTTAGATTTACCAAGAAGTATGTAGGCTTGTTGTAGCCTGATTGGATATACCTTGATTAGTACAGAGATTACATGGTCAGATTGTAACATACTGTATATGGTGGCCCTTAGGGTTCAGATCTGCCTTAGTGAAACTTGAATTGAGAGGCGTGGGTTGCTATTGCATCACAGGCTCTGTGTTTTCCAGGCAGTTCATGGCTGAGATCCATTGTGTTCAGTTTTGTTTTCCCTTCTTAGTGAATGGAACCTGTCAGGAAAGACTTACAGGAACTAACTTGTTTGTTTCTAATCCTGTAAATGGCTCAGTCCACCCCTACACCATGTGACATCCAGATTTAGGCCAGCATCAGGCTGATGTAGATAAACGAGGCAGAAAGACTGCATGGAATGCAAGAGCCATCCGAATACCAGAATTGCTTTCCTCTTCCTTGTTAAGTCCCTGACAAGTAACAGTCAGTACAATAGTTCCAAGTCTTGTCTACTTGCTCCAGGTCAGTGACTCGCTATGTAGTTGCCCTGGAGATTTCACTTTTAAAACAAGTTGGCAGTGGAAGTTTCCATGTTTAGACAGGTTCCCTTTAGACTAGGGTTGCACCAAAATTACATTTTTAGACAGAAACCGAAATTAAAAAGATTGGTCAGGCCGAAACCAACCTTTTTTTACAATTTTTTATTTTTTTATTTTTTTTACTATTAGGGGCTTTGGGGAAATATCAGGGGTCTAAACAGGCTCCTGATATTTCCCTTTTGAGGACAGAGTCCTCAATCTTTTTTTGTGGCCCCAGCAGTCAATGAACAGGAAGCTCTCAATACAGAGGCTTCCTGTTCATTCACAATCTGGAAATAGTAAATATTTACTATCATACCAGTCATGAATGGACAGGAAGCCTCTGTACCGAGCTGCTTCCTGTTCATTCATAAAGTGAGCAGATAGTAAATATTTACTACGTCTCCATTCATACATGAACAGGAAGTGATGTTCATTCATAACTCGGGACATAGTAAGCTTACTATGTCCGCAGTTATTTAGAAACACTCGGCGATCCATCCTGACTGCTCTGCCTGTCACAGGAGCTGAGCTCTCCACCAGCATCACCCTGCTCATCATCCTGACAGGCAGGGCCGGATTAAGAGCATCACGAGCCTGGTGCTGAGTATTTTGGTGGGCCTTTTTATGGAAATGTCAATGGAAACCGGGGCCCTCTTCCTTCTGTCTGGGCTGTGATTTGTGGTCTCTCTACAGCTTGGCGTCAGTGTTGAAGTGCCGGGGTCCGTTTGCAGCTGCGACCCTGGTAGATCTGCCACTGACTCAAAGCTGTAGAGAGACTAGAAATCTTAGCAATACATTATACAGCAATGCAGAATACCGCCAACTATAGAGGACTAAAAATGCCAGCAATACATTATACAGCAATGCAGAATAATATGAAGCTACTTACTCAGTGCTCCGGGTTCATGGCTTGATGTCTCCAGGGTCTCAGGAGAGCTGTGCGGGGTTTAGGGGGGGGCTGTGTAGGTTCTTAGGTGGCCAGTGCGGCTCTATGAGAGTCAGTGCAGGCTCCAGGGGGGTCAGAGAGACTGGCAACTGCAGATGCGGCTCTCTGCTCAGGCATATCGGAGGGCCCTCTGATATGCCTGAATAGAGGGCCGTGGCTCCATGGTCAGCTCAGCCCGGCCGATAGCCGCGATCAGGGACAGCTCGGCCTGCTGGCCGCGACTCCGTGTTGGCTCAGTTTGGCCAGGCCTATTTCCCAGGGCGGGCCTGGAGCAGGAGCTTCACCCGCCCCTATGTTAATCCGGCCCTACTGACAGGTATCTCCTCCCACACAGCCCTGCTCTTCATCCTGTCACAGTCTCTCCTCCCTGCATCGCCCCACTCGGCCTCCTGACAGCTTCTTTCCTCCCTGCTGGGTACTTGCAGCTGGATCAGCTAATAACTGCTAGCTGGAGGTTCCCTTTTCCTGTCTAACCTACACTATAAAAGTGACATCAGGCATCTGATTTGCTGTACATACATTGAGCATTGTATTAGGAAGACCCGCACCACTTACAGAGCAATCCACAACTCTGCCCCCAGCTATATTTCCAACTTCGTCTCACAGTATCGCCCTAACTGTCCTCTCCGCTCCTCAAAAGACCTCCAGCTCCCTTGTCAACTCCTCCCATGCTCGCCTCCAGGACTGTTCTAGAGTCTCATCTTTTGGAACTCTTTATCCCAACCTGCCCGGCTGTCTCCTACTTTGTCTGCTTTATCCTTAGGAGAACTATGGGGAAAAGCCTTAACCCCATAGTTCTCTTAAGACTCATCTCTTCAGGAAGCCTATCCCGCCTCCACCTAACTACTCAAGCATCACTTTCTCAAACAATTCATCCCCACACAGCTACCTCCTCATGTATCACTGGCCCCTCCCTTTTAGATAGTAAGCCCTCAAGGGCAGGGCCCTCCTTACCATCTTGTCTTGACTTGTATTGTAATTGTCATGTCCTCATATTGTAAAGCACTGCCCAAACTGTTGGTGCAATATAAATCCTGTATAATGATAATAATCTGCTTATTAATGACATTGTCTAATCAGCCAATCGTGGCTGGGTCACAGTGCATGCAATCATACAGATACACACCAGGAGCTTCATTTAATTAAAAGCACATTAAACACCAGAATGAGGAAGATTGACACCATAATGGGCAGAAATTAGAAAGATGACATCATGACACCATGGACCAGAATCCCAAAGTCTGAAATGTGGAGTCTATGTCATAAAGATTTGAGGCTGTTTTAAGAGGGAGGCCTGACCCAGGATTAGTATAACCTTCCTAATAAATTGCTTGGTGGTTGTAGGTGTCACCAGGGAGGTCAGTTCCATAACTTGTGGTGTTTGTCATTTCAGAATATAGCTGGGGTCAGTTCTTCAATTGTCTGCCCCCCTAAACCCCCCCGAGCCCACGAACTGAAGCTTCAGGTGCGGAATATCAAAGCGTCGTTGGTGGAAGAAGCAAACCCATCAGGTACAGTGTACACCCTTCATACACTTGTTCTTGATGTCCCTTGTTGCAAGTGAAAGTCGTTATACTTCATTCTAGGTAGAAGTTTTAGGAATTCCCTTTTTAGAGGCAGGAAAATATTTGGCTCAACTGAGTAGCTGAAGAGTTACCCCATAGTTCTCTTTTAAGAGTTTTTTGTGAGTGTTTTTCCCCATAATTCTCCTAAGGGTCACGGGAGGACATGAACTAGCGTCCTCCCGTGACCCAAAGCTCAGTATATCGCGAGCTACAGCTCGCAGTATACCGAGACCGCCGCAGCCGGGACGGATCCCGACATTACTGTCGAGATCCCCCCAGCTGCGTGAGTGACAGCTGCCTCTGCCTATCTAGAGGCAGAGCCAGCTGTACCCGCCCCCTCCCCGTCTGTTCCTCCACACAGCGCTGGAGGATCGGAGCGGGGAGGGGGGCAATCCCTGCAGGGAGCTATGAGTGACAGTCACGGCTTCCTGCAGGGACAGGATCAAGAAGTGAGCGAGCGACGGTATGTGTTCACTCCCCAATCTATTGAGCCGACGTGTGACATTTTCATTGTAACAGGTCGGCGGGAACTAATGAGGATGAGTGATTTTCTTTTACCTCATAGTTCTCCTTTTAAGGCTAGGTTCACACCTCACTGCAATCGTGCACGATTCCGCGCAGATTGCCGCACACTCAGGAGTCGCCATGGTGTGAACCGATCACGTTGTGGGTGCCATTATTTTCTAATATACCTGATTCCAAAATGTATTTTGGTAAATTGATATTTCATCAAAATATTTGAGGTGTGGCCTCCTTGTAAAAAAAAAATATATATGCAGTACACTGTTTTTCATTCGTTAGTCTGCAAAGTCTCACAAATACCTGTAGATCCTGCCTGAGAAGTCCACCTATTGCAGCTTCCTGTGATGGGGGACAACACTGCTTCTGAATTCAGAGAGAGGAGTCGCCCTCTTGTTGGTTGTAGCTACTTGCACTGTAATGGGATAGGAACACGTTGTGGGGCCTTAGGTAGCTGATTGACAGAACTATAGCTTGTCAATCAGCTCCTGGGCACGCCTAGTCCTGCCTGCTGCGTTCTGGATTGGCAGCACATCCTCTGTTACTGGAACCCTCCCACAATGAGCTGCAGTGTCTGAGAAGGGGGAGTGCGCGAGAGGAGAATAAAGGATATGGCTCCCTCGGAAAGTAAAGGAAGCTTATTTATGAGGCTTTTACATCACACAGGACATTAAAGACATCTTATTGATGGTGTAAGGGTAGCAATGGATGTAGCGTTTTTATCATAGGCAGGAGGAAAAGAGAGACACCCAGGGATATGCCGGACTTGTTCACCAATTTATTTTTTATATCAATTATTTAGCAAAAGTGGAATTTTACTGTAAAGTGGAGTAACTCCCTTGTGTTTTATTTATTTTTTTACAGAAACTATTGTCTTAAAATTTTGAGTTACTACCAGACCTACTTTATGCCATGTACTGGAGTTCTGTTTTAGTATTAATTTTATACTTTGGTTGTTGATTTGTTGCCTCCTTTTATTGTCGCAGGTCCTGTGGTCTGTTCTGTGCAGCTGAATGATCCAGCCCAAAAATTTACAACTACAGCCATAAAACCCACCGTGAGCCCATCCTGGGAGGAAGAATTCGTCTTGTGAGTACCACATCCATCATGCCGGCCCAAACCCTGCTAGAGCTGCTTTTATACAACTATGAAAACATTGACCAGTACTCAGTAGATGCTCGTGCGCGTTCTCTCTGTCTGTCTCTGTCTTTCTGTCTCTCTCTCTCTCTCACTTTTCTCTTCCTCTCTCTCACCCTTTTTCTCTTCCTCTCTCTCACCCTTTTTCTCTTCCTCTCTCTCACCCTTTTTCTCTTCCTCTCTCTCACCCTTTTTCTCTTCCTCTCTCCTTTCTCGCTCCTTTCTTTCTTCACTTTGGAGGAATATGTCCACCTTTTCTTAAATCAGAGCCCATCACATTTCCTAGCTGGAGGATGTCAAGCTTCATCTAGCTCTTTCCTCCCCAACCTGACTGTCCCTGGCCCGCCCCTTTCATTCATTGGATTTTAGTTCCTTCAATCATGGAAGCTCAGCATCACATGTGGCCATTACCTAGGGCAGTCTGCATGCAAATGCAGCCTGTCTAGGAAATCCCACTCCTCTAGACTGGCACCTAGCCATCAAGATACTTTCATAACTTGCCCCAAAAGCCAGTCCACTCAGGTTGTGGGCTCTTGATATGATTACTGAGGCAGGGTGTTGTGATGAGACATACATGGTCTCTTATGTCATAGAAAAAGCCTGTCAGCACTTTTCATAAAACAAGTTTAGTTTCATTTTAATCAAATAATTCTTACCTGGAGATCCTGTTAGTAATAGCACTTCTGTTTCAGGTTGACAACACTAAGCCCTTGCCTCGGAATTAGCAGAAGTGTTGTCAGCCTGCTGCTGTACGTGCTCTCAGTAGGGCACTGGGCTGCCGATCTGATAGACCTGAAATCTTTAGAGTGTGTGTGTGTGAGAGATGATGTATACACCTTCATATATACCTACGTTTATTTGAAAGTTATTTTTTTTATGCGACTTTTAGACAAGAAGTGGGTAGGAGGAGTTGAACAGCTGAGATGGGGAACAGGGATGGAAAAAGGTCTCGTGCAACATTTCTTTACTCTATAACAGTCTACTGAAGCATGTCTCTGACCATCTCTGATAGCATATCTGTAGTCTCTGACCATCTCTGATAGCATATCTGCTAGACATAACACAGCTAGGGTGGGCAATCGGTCTGTGTCCGGACCACATTTCTCTTCAGTTGTTGCTTGCTAGGACTGCTAACATCCAGATGACCTAAACATTAGCTCATATGCATGCTCTAGCATGTCCATAGCCTCTGACCATCTCCTGTAGCATGCACATAGTTTTGGACAATTTCCTGTAGCATGTCCATAGTCTCTGACCATCTGCTGTAGCATATCCCCAGTCTTTGGCCATCTCCTGTAGCATTATCCATAGTCTGACCATTTCCTATAACATCTCTGCAGTCTCTGACCATCTACAGTAGCTTTCCTGAAGTCTTTGGCTATAATTCTGCAGACCTATGTACATTGAATATTCTCTGTGGTCATTATGGTGATGTCAGGAAGCACACCTGAGGCCTCCTATTTATAGTAAGTTGACCACCACTGGGTTAGGGTATACAACTACTTGAAGGTAACTTCCGCTGATATATGTCATGCTATTCTCTGTTTGAGGTGTCTTGGCTTGTGGTTGGTTTCCCTTTAATTAAGTTTAAAAAGGACGCATGTCCAGCAAGATCCTCGCAAACCCAAATGTCTAACCTCACAAAAGCAATCCGATCTGATGTGTGGATGCAAATCGCTCCGTGCTATGCATTGTTAAAGTAGTTTAAGGGCTATTTGTTACCTTAAAAGAGAACTATGGGGTTAGGGCTTTTCCCCATAGTTCTCCGGGTAACGGGAGGACACAAACTAGCGTCCTCCTGTCACCCTAGGCTCAGTATACTGCGAGCTGTAGCTCGCGTTATACTGAGACGCTGAAGCGGATCCCGACAATTATCCCGGGATCCGCCCAGCTGCGTGACTGACAGCTGGCTCTGCCTATCTAGAGGCAGAGCCAGCTGTACCCGCACCCTCCCCCGTCCGTTCCGCCAGTCAGCGCCTGCGGATCGGAGCGGGGAGGGGGGAATCCAGCCCCTCCCCCGTCACGGCAGAGAGCCGTGACAGGATCGAGAGGTGAGCGAACGCCGTTATGTGTTCGCTCACCTCCAGATCTACTGAGCCGACCTGTGACAGTCTCATTGTCACAGGTCGGCTAGAACTATGAGGTGAGTGAAAAGCACTCACCTCATAGTTCTCCTTTAATGCAGAGAATGTATTAAGGTAAAAAAAAACGCCCCCAAACACTTCCCTAAACTCCATATTTACAGCCGCTGGCTCCCCCCAGACAATCAGCGGTATGTCCTGAAGTTCCGGGATGAGAGGAGGGATCCCGAGGCCACTGATAGGGGCATTGATAAGATGCTGCACCTGCCTGTCAAGATACTGAGAAGGTGGAAACAGGGGCGTGGCTTATAGAGTACTGTGTGTGTCAGTGGTCGCACGGCTCAATTCCCGGCAGGGAGCATGCATGCACAGGTGTCTCCTTTGCTAGGCATAGGAGACGCCCGTAAACAGGAGTGGACGGGGCCGCAGTAGATCGAGTGAAAAAAATAACAGAAATGGGCAATATTAAAAAAAAAAAAAAGAAGCAAGATCTCACAAGTACAAGTGGATCTATAGAGAATAAAAAAAAAAACAAACCCCAAGGGTTTAATATCACTTTAAGGCCTCATTCGCACGGGAATCGGCCGGCACGTTCAGCTCTGTGCTGCGTGCACGGCCGTATCGGGCAGCTCCCGGGAAGGACAGGTGCTGCGTGTGATTAGTACGAAGCCCGTCCTTCTCTATGGGAGTACGCCGCCCTACGCTCACCCCAAGTGCAGGTCCGTGCGTGTGCACGTACTCGTACGCTGACAGGATGGATCCTGTCTGCATCCAAGACGGGACACCCACACCCGTACGGACCTGCACTTGAAGGTGAGCGTACGGCCGCGTAGTCCCATAGAGAAGGACGGGCTTCGTACTAATCACACGCAGCACCTGTCCTTCCCGGGAGCTGCCCGATACGGCCGTGCACGCAGCACAGAGCTGCACGTGCCGGCCTTTTCTCGTGTGAATGAGGCCTTAAGTGTATGTAAACCCCAACAATGAACTATTTGCTCCATTATGGTCTGTTGGATAATTAAAAAAAAAAAAACTTGTTGATCCTGCCAGGAATCTTCTGAGTTCGTAACATCCTGTACTCTCCACTGCCCTCTTATTGGTTACATTGTTCTCAGCAATTTCTGTGTACTACAGAACACACCCCATGTTGAGAAGATGAAAGGTGTTCTGTACTCTTGTTTTAGGGTGACCACGCCGATCCTTTAGATTTGGTACGGTGAGTGAGCGGGGTCAATCTAGGACAGAAAGTGTCCTCTTGGCAAGATCACCAGGTGAATGTAAAGGAATGAAACCCTAAAAAAGAAAACAAATGCAGCTACCATAACCAAGGTCTGGGTAATCTGAAATGCATTACATTGGGACTCTTGGGTTTACATATACTTTAAGACTAGTGTATACTATTAGCTGTAAGAGAAATGTCCGCGAAAGCTTGTGGTTGCCCCATGTCTGGTCGCTGTGAAGATATGGCAGGAATCTGAACAATGCCTCTCTTCCTTGAAAGTATTCCGTCCATCTTACACAGGATCTCACAATCCAGAGTAGGAGGAATAGCAGACCCATTCATGCAATGCTTCCTGGTACGCTGACTATACGCTGGTACAATTTCTTACCAATGTCCATACGAAAAAATCTCATCAGATAATGTCATCAGAGGCTTGTAGAATAGTGTTCAAAATTTTGTTTGATTTTAAAAGCGGTGTGGGGGGAGGGGAAAAAACTAAAAAAAAATATTTGACCAAAGGACTAAAGCGGGAGCCCAATCTACTTGTCTCTGATGACAATCTACTTGTCTTGATACAAAAAATAATTTTAACCAAAACCGTCTAAAACCGTGCTAAGAAGTGTTTCTCATTGGTCAGCGCGGTCACCTGACCTGAGCATAGAAACTAACATTCCACTACAGCGCCATCTACAGCTCGAAAGACATAATATATGCTGCTGTATTTCCTGCATGTGTCCCCATTACGGAGGTTTTCCCTCACTTCCTGCCTAGTCTTTGGTGTTCACCAGTTCCTTTCTTGACCCCTTCGTGACTGACGACGTACAGTCCCCCCCCC